AGCGTCCTCCACAACTAGACTGAAGAACAAAACGACAGCAACTTGTCTGTTCCCTTTCCCCCAATTCCCCAGCACTGTTCCCATCCCAATTCCCCAATAAAAATCTTTAAAAAAAAAAAAAAGAATAGGCAGGTGTGAAAAATAATTTCTAGGAATAAAATATGAAGTCATTGAAATTCATCCACTGATGTATTAAACAGATTAGATATAACTAAAGAGAAAATTAATGTTTAGGAAGAAAAGTCTGAGAAAATTACTCAGAAATTACTCAGCGGAGTTAAAAAACAAAAAAGAAACACGAAAGGGAGGTTAAAGGACATGGAAAATAAAATGAGAAGGTTGCACATACATTTAATAGGTATTCCAGATGGAGATGAAGGAGAACATGGGGGAAAAGCAATTTGAAGATATAATTTCTGAGAATTTTCAAGAATTAAAGACAGGTATGAGTCTTCAGAATGGAAACTTCAAAATAACAGCACAGAGAAAAAAAAAACTGTAAGCAACCCAAGAGAAAAGATTACTTACAATGACAATTAATTAATGAGAACTGGATATTCTCATTAATAACAAATGTCAGAAGAAAATGGAGTAAATTTTCAAATATCAAGGAATAAAATAATCAACCAAGTATGTATATCCAGATTGAAATAAAATCATCTTCAAATAAAGACAGGAAACTCATCATCACTGAAAGAATTACTGCAAGAAGGAAAACTGAGCCAGAAAGAAGGGACAGGATGTAAGGGGAGGAAAAAGCAAGTAGCAAGCAAAGAAATTACTAAACATATCCACTAGAAAAGTTAAAATCAGAAAGCCTGATAATACTAGTGTTGGTGAGGATATGGAATGACTAGAACTCACATATGTTGCGGGTGGAAGTGTAAAATGGTACGGCTACTTGGGAGAACTGTGTGGTGGTTTCTTACAGTAAAGAATGAACTAATGATACAGGCAACAGCATGGATAAATCTTAAAAATATTATGTTACGTCAAAGCCAGAGAGTACATATTATGTCTCAGTTTATATGAAACAGAAATACAGGCAAAGCAAATCTAGGACAATAAAACTCAGATAGCAGTTGTGGAGGTTGTCGGGTGGTGTGGGGAAGAGAACTGAATGGAAAGAGACACAAAGGAACTTTCTGGGGGAATGGAAACATTCTATATCTTATTTTGAGTGGCCATTAAAAAGTAGGTATTTGTCAAAACTCCTAAACCAGAAAACCGAAGCTCATTGTATTGCATGTTAATTATAACTCAATAAAAAAGAAATTAAGAAATATGTTGATATACCTAAAATGCACTGTTTAAAAATGGGTGTGGGCAGGGAGGTTAAAAACAAGGCAGAATAATGATAAACATAGTAGCTACCGCTTATTAAATGTTTACTATGTGCCACGTACTGTTCTAAATGTTTTACATATATTAGCTTAATTAATCCTTTCAGAACTCTATCAAGTAGGGACTCTTATTATCCCCATTTTACAGATAAGAAAATTGTAGCACAGTGAGGTTACACAACTTACCCAGGGCTACACAACTGGTGTGTGGCAGAGCTAGGGTCCAAACTCAGGCAGTACGACTCTGAGGTCTGTGTTCTTAAAAATCCACCGCCTCTCTGAAATTAAAAATCAACAACATGGAAGATGAGAGAAGGGAGGCTGGAGTTAGGATGTTCCACGAGTCAAGGGGATGACAAAAATGATGATTAACTTTAGCCTTTGTTAAGTGAAGTATGTATGTTAAAAGGTATGGATAGGGGCCGGTGGAGTGGCGCGTTGGTTAAGAGCTGGCTTGGGACGCCAGAGGACCCTGGTTCAGATCCCACATATGAGGGCCAGTGACACTGCCCTCTATAACTAAGATGGTGAACGGCAGCTCAACCTGGAGCTGGGCTGCTGTGAGTCACCGGCGATGGCGTAGGCTGCAGTCCCTGTGGCAGTGGGTTGCCATGTGGCTACCGTGTGCAGCCAGCAGCCAGTATGAGCGGCCAGCAGCCAGCATGAGTGGCCAGCAGCCACCGTGAGCAGCCGTCCAGAGGCTGGCGACTGATCTGCCTCGCCCGGGAAGAGCGCAATGATGGTGCCAGCTTGGGCCAGTGAAGCGACGTCCTCCACAACTAGACTGAAGAACAAAA